ACATTTCAAATAAAATTGTCACTCTCTCTTTCCTTTAAAAAAACTACTAAGCACCCATACATGGTATCTTTCTGATGAAAAATGAACGAATATGCACAACTTTGTGAAACCGGTAAAAACCGGCCGGCCCAATTCACTCAACCGGTCCGGCCGAACCGGACCGGTTACAACTCTGGTTTAACCTAATCTAACCTTAGGTTAGGTTCAACCTGCAGGGCTCTGCTAAAAGGCCGTGAGAGACTCTATCATCCCTACTGTCCTAGTCATGATTAGCTATTATTTGATCACAAACATTTGGTAGATGTTTTATGCACCTCAACTAAAGTTTATACTGTAAGTAGCGCTGAAGAGGAAGATTTTCAGATATTCAAAAGAGGTGTGATGGTTTATTTTCAAACACATATGTAGCCGTTTTTATCTACAGAACACGCGTGAGTATAGGAAGTGGTTACAGAAATTTTTCGTTCTTCTTTCCTTTTCAGCCGTTATACACGCGATCGTTCTCTGACATTTTGTTTTCCTCTTATTTTCGCGAAAATAACATCTAGTTTCAGACATGAATTTGCCAGCTAGTCTTATTAGCACATACATTGGTTAAATAGCTGATCATTTCCTATTCTGTTTCGGAGAAACGTGTTCATTCACAATGACTGGCCATTTATCTGTTGGTGATCGGTGGCGTATTATCTCATTGAATTTCGATCAAGGACGAAGTGTTCATCAAATAGCTCGTACTATCCCTTGTAGCATTCAAACATTTTACAACATACTCCAATTATTCGAAGAAACCAATGATGTTCTAGAACGAAATGGTAGAGACCGTGGTACCCTGTTCAATGCTAATGAATTTCATACATTACAACAAATATTGTATAGATATCCCAATGATACTTCGAGTAATATCACGAATAGCTTTTTCCGACGTATGGTTTACATGTCAGTCTTGAGGGTGCAAAACTGCAAAAGATCTTTTATTGTTGTTACAGAACCTTTTGAGGTTCGGATGAATGGTGACGGCTTCTGATGATTTCGTGAGAAGCCTTCTCAGGATCTGCAAACACAGAATATATTTTCTACTGACTGTACGGAACCTTCAAAGGTTCAGTTAAATGGGAGCTGCTTAATGGTTTCGTACGAACCTTCGAGTTTCTGCAAAAGTATAGAAGGTTTTCTACTATCGGTACAGAACCTTTTGAAGAACACTTTGCGTTCGAATTCAATGCAAGTAGCTCGTTATGGTTTCGTATGAAATTTCTCATTTGGTTCGTCGCAAAGCGTATAGCATCCTTCCGTTTAGGTTCTATCAAACATGTCTGCTGAAATCAGTGAGGCTCTCTTCCAGGGCTGCTTATAGGAGGCCAGGCTTGGGGGAGTCAACATTTTTCCATCAGAGGTGGTATGCAGTTTATAGCGCCACAATGCATGAAACAGTCGTTTCTTCCAATGGTTTCTCTTCTGGAAATTGAACTTCTTTTGAAAGACTTAACAGTTCTTACAAAAGTCTGAAATAAAAGCACTGCGCAGCAAAAAATTTTTCATCGTTCAAGCCCCAAACGTTTTCCTTGCTTTACGTTTGCAAAACATTCATATTCAGAATTTAAATGAAAGAAGTGCTTCAATATTTATACCGCCGCAAAGCAGTCACTTTTTACATCATCTCCTAATACTCTGCATGATCTCAATGTCAGTAGTCCTTTTTTTCTTATATATAGGATTCGTTAGATGACCTGCGATGGGTGTAAAATTCTCAGCATACATCAGGCCCTTCGAGTTCAGTTCCTAGTCAAAACTTCAGACCGATCTACCAAGTCCTTAGATAGAAATAGCTTTCCCAATTTTCAAAAATTTTGTCAGATGTCATGAGTAAGGGTTTCGTAGCGAAAAATCAATCCTGATATCGAGTAGTTTATCATAATCACCAGACATCCATCTCAATCCTACAAACATGCAACCATTATTCGCACTACCACATTCAGCTGTATTTTGAAGTTTTTTAAAACGAGAACTAAGACCTTAAATTTTAATTAAAATTTAAACTTAATTGATTAATAACTTTGTGAATTATTATCAGTTCATCGAAAACACTGAAGGATATAATCAGGTGTCCTCTCTAAATTGACATAGTTTGAGGGCACATATAGGGGGAAGTGGACCCTTCCTTAATACGGCGAAAAGGAGAAATGGGTCATTCGCAAACCAATGCGTTTTCTAAATTTTTTGTTCATTATTAAAATCTTTCTTATCAATTCGAAAAAATGAATCAACCATAAATAATAACTCGTTTTCGCCCTTTCCAAAGGACTAAATTTGAAAATATTAGCTTATGGTTTGTATTCCAGTGGTATATCATGTTCAATTTTAAGATCTATTTCGAACAATACGTTGTAAACGTTAGGATTAGTGCCTGATGTTATTCCAGAGAACACCAATGCAAGCTCTCGATTAAGACCTGTAGATAAAATGCTAATACGGATATCAACGTATTATATGTTAGCTGCTCTAATTCTATTTGTTAACACGTTTGCCGCGATAAAAACGAAATATTACTTTGCCATCAAAACATCAGTTTATTAACCGTCCACATGAATGTCTCAAAAAAAATGGTCTGAAGTTTGCCAATCAAAACGAACGAATAGTCGTATCATAAAGGCTATTTCCTGTTTAATAGATCGACTTCTTGCTGTAAACGATCATACGAATCATTTAAAAAAAGGAAAGTTAGAAAACGCACTGGTTTGCGAATGACCCATTTCTCCTTTTCGCCGTATTAAGGAAGGATCCACTTCCCCCTATATGTGCCCTCAAACTATGTCAATTTAGAGAGGACACCTGATTATATCCTTCAGTGTTTTCGATGAACTGATAATAATTTACAAAGTTATTAATCAATTAAGTTTAAATTTTAATTAAAATTTAAGGTCCTAGTTCTCATTTTAAAAAACTTGTAGCTCAGTCAAAAATAATCCTAGAAAAGTCATTCATGCATTGCTTGATAACCAATGGTTTGTTGTTGTGGTTTGATGAAAAAAGCTTTTCAAGACAATAACTTATAATTAATCAATATTAATAAATACTAATTAATATGGCTTCATGCATGCCTTACACTTTTATTTGCAGATTAACAGTTTATTGGAAACGATACGGTAATACGTCATTCGAGAGAGAGTTCAAAGCGCTACAAATCTCTGATTTGGCTTTTCAAAATGTTACCGATAAACGGTTATTTACACTCGATTTTAGGTAAACGGAGTTTCCACTACGGATTTCTCTACAGAGCTGTCATGGATGTAAGTTTAGTTTAAGCTTTTTATTTAAGAAATCGAAAGAAACAAGAAAAGAAGATCAAACAAGTGACATCGTTATCCTAAGGACTACATCGTATCTCCTGAGAGGAATCTTTTAACAGAACAAAAAAGAACATCATCATGAAATAAAAATGAACAAAACGAAAAGAAAAACATTGGACCTGGAGAAGGAAGAAGAGAACCATGAATGATTTTTGGATAACTCAAGAATGAAAAGAAATAGAGAGTTCGGGTTTTCAGCATTTTGTAGAGAAGGCCTTACTCTATCAACACATATATTATGCACGAAAAATCTCGGTTTTTCAGGTACTGTACCTGCCTGATGAAAAGTGATGGGGTTGCCGGATCCTGAACCTACGGTGAGTTTTTAATTGTAACATAGTGGCTAGATAGTCCATAGTCGTCTGTTGTGCAAGGCCGATCTCTCTACCTATTGTGGTTCTCGAATGGCAGCCATTTTCCTGAATCACCCATAATTCATTATCATTTCATCGTGTAAATGCTTGCCATGCGAGAATCACAACAGATGGAGAGGTCGGCCTTGCACAAACCTTGTCACCGATTCTGACTACGCAAAGCATATCCCATAAAAAACTATTGCAACAAAAGTTGTTCCCTATGAAATTCTACGTGAAATACGCGGAACAGGTTTTTACTAATGACAAAAAATTATTGATTAAAAAATGTTAAAATTAAAAAAGTTTTAATTTTCATTTAACTTCTGTTTAAAATTTTTTCTTGAAATTCCATTCCGCTTATTCCATGTAGTATAACACCAACTACAACTTCGCCAGCAAAATTTTTTCTTGAAAATTCTTTGCTATCGCGCAGTCGCTGGCAAGGTTTTCAGGCATTACTTTTTATGCTTAAAGAGGAGCGTGGGGGGGGGGGGGGGGGGGGGGGGGGGGGGGGGGGGGGGGGGGGGGGGGGGGGGGGGGGGGGGGGGGGGGGGGGGGGGGGGGGGGGGGGGGGGGGGG